AATTTTAAGCTCAGACCTTGTAAACTTGAGGGCTGGTTTTAATGGCTTATATATATATATATTAGGGCTGGGGTTTTAACACGTTAATTTTGATTAGTTAATTACAGAAAAAATAATGTGTTAAAAAAAGTAACGCATTCAACAGCAAGATGCAGGGGGATGCACTGAACAATGTCAATGCACAAGGAAGTTGCAGTGATGGAAGACAAGACTGCATTGCTTGGCTTGTTGGGCGGAAAGGTTTTTTTTTTCTTATCAAGGCTTAATGCTACGTATCCACAGGGGGGATTTTGCCAAAATTTGCACATTTGCATAAAGCTGAAGCCAAGTCTGCTTTCTGCAAATGGAGACGCTATGGCTCGGATGACAAGTGCAGTTTCAGTCATCAACCAAAATGTATTTGAATTGAAACACTTTGTTTATTGTATCAAATACTGTTACTTGATAAAAATGCGATTAGTCAAGATTAATTAGAAAAAATTACTTACAAAGCCTCTAATTAATTAGATGCATTTTTTAATTGCGTCACACCACTATTATATATAGATCACACGAAATGTAGGCATATATACAAAGCAATACAAGGCACAATTGACTATCAGTAATTTTAAAAAGTAAAGCAGCAGATCACTCTCATTATCACTTCAGTAATATTTGTTGGCACAGGAACGTACTAATGCTAAACCTGTAGCGTTGTTTCATGTTCATACCTGTCTCCTGTTCCGGCGATAATCGCAGAACGAAGCCAGCTGCTGGTTGTCAAGCTTCAGCCCCACACAGAGTCGATCTTCTAAGGAAGCGTGGTACACAAAGTAGTACGTTCCCGAGACTCGACACCTGCAGCACAAACTCAATGCTTAGTTTGTTCCTGTCCGTTCTGATTGGGCGGTGTTTAGTAACATTTAGGGCAACTGTTCCAAAAAGAAAACAGCTCAAAAAAAAAGACAGTGAATCTGCAAAATAAGTGTTATGGTCAAGGTTAGAAGTCATTGTAAACACTTGATACTTTAGGATGGAGTGACCTCTGACTCCAGAGTTAGGTAGCAGCAGGTGCTTCATCACCTGAAGCGTCCTGTTTCTGTGTTGTAGTCTCCACCGACGTCGGTGATGACATTAGTGAACCGAATGACGCTTGCTTTGTCCGGGTATTCGTTGGTTCCTCTGGCCACGCTGAAGGCCGCCTGTAGCTGGACTCCTACAGTCCTGCAGCCACAGAGACAACACACACTGCTTTTTCTGGAAGCATGGAACCAGGGCTCGGACACATTCCCACCAGTTTATAGCAGAACCGCCAACACAACAAAGGACTGAAGCAGGAAAACAAAGCAGGGCGACGGACTTCTTACTGTTTACCCGCCAGCTTAGAGCATCTTAATGCAAATAGTTAGAGCATTATTTACCCCAGTTATTAATACTGGGATGTGATTACATACCCGGCTTCTCCTGGTTCTCCTGGAGGTCCTGCATATCCAGGGGGCCCCGGTTCCCCAGGTTCTCCACTCTGACCTCGCTTACCAGGGAATCCCATCAGCCCCGGCTCCCCCTTCCCTCCCTTCTGAGGGCCGAGGCCACCGTCCCACTGAGCTCCTGAACACAGCAGCGTTGGGTATCGATAAGTAACACAGGACGGTAATGTGATTACTTTTCTTAACAGTGTAAAGGATTACAATCACTCTGAGCCTACAGACTGGAAACAGAGAAAACAGTTTGCGTAATTCATAGACAAACAGAAATATGAAAATCACAGTTCTCAGGGGAGTTTGTTGAAAAAATAGGTTTTAAACAAACTAGTTTCACCTTTTAAACCATTTAGGAACTCAAAATTACTTCAAATAAAAAGTTGATCATTAACTTCGTAAGTAAACGTCTTTATGTTTCTTATGTGACAGGTAGTTTTATTTGCATACTTTTTTTTTTTTTTTGAACTCCCTCATTTTTACACTAATATCTTAATGGCACTTATTCGTGCACTGGAAAAAGTGAAAATATAACAGCATGGGTGACAAAAAGAAATATGATAAAAAATTATGGAACACTGTAACGTATAAAAAAACCTGTAAAATAATGTTGTTTAGCAGTTTAAAATACAGTAAAACTCTGTAGCTTTACAGTTATAGATTGTAAAAGAATGAATTATATTTGTAAAAGTATAGATATTTAATGTGGACATTTATTCATATAATATAATATGATATATTATAATATTTTTTCTTTTTTACATTTAACATGTAAACTGATATTTTCTTTTTTGCTGTTATCTTAAGAGTTATCAGTAATTAAACACAACAGTGAAAGTCTGAAAAAAAAATTAGTTAAAAAATGTATTCACCATTTTAAAATCCTTGACATTCTTGTCTTTCTTTCAAATAGCAGCGCATATGTGTAAAAATGAATATAGAAATAAGTGCTAAATCAAGTTTAAATACACTAAAATAATAATTTTAGGGTCACACATTGTAAAAGAACAAATTACTATTAGTAAAAATACAGATGTTGATCATTTACAGTTTTGGCCTGATTATTTGTTTAGTTATTTACAGTCAATATGTAAATAATGTCTTAATGTTTCTGTTTCTTGTTCAGTTTTTCTACAGTCAATTTTTAAATGATACTTTTTTTCTGTGGTTTTAATATTTATCTTTAATTTAAAGTGTTTGTTTTCATGCATCCATTAAAGTGCAATAATACGCCTTTATTAGGCACAAAAAGTGAAGGCCCTTTACTTGTTATGATTGTGCAGCAAAATCTTGTCTTGTATGTGAATTATTTCATTCATGTTTCTACATTTTATGAAAAAGAATCACTTCAAAAATTATGCATATGTAAATAAGAAAAGAGAGACAAAACAAGGCAGGAATGGGGCTTCATTAATGTGAGCTATAAACCAAATCTTCTTGGAATCCATAGTTTTCCTTCATTTTTCATCTTTGTGTTCAAACTCTTGATTGAACTTGGCTGCTGCTCAACAGCTCTGTTGAAATGTTTGTGTTCGGTACCTGGGTCTCCTTTCTGTCCTTTCTCTCCGTCACGTCCATCTCTGCCAGGAAGCCCAGGAATACCTGAGGACAGTCACAGAGATAAACAAACACAAACAAAACAAGATGACACACATCCACAGTCACACACACATGAGTACACTCACCTGGCATCCCGGGCATCCCTGTTGCTGGGCAGGTCTCCACGGCAACCAGCAGGGGCACAACAAATGAGAGCAGCGCTCCAATAAGAAGAAAACAACGATGAAGCATGATGGCCAACCTGATGAGAGGAGACGAGGAGAGGAATGAAGGAGAGGAGACAAGGAGACAAGAAGTCAGGAAAGATTAAGGGGGAGAGAAGAGGAAATAGAGGAGGAAAGGAAAGATGAGAGGAGACAAGTAGAGAAGGATGAAGAGCAAAAGAGGAGGTAAGGAAAGATTAAGGGTGGACATGAAAGAAAGGAAAGAGGAGACGAGACGAAGACAGGAAGGGAAGGCAGGGAAAGGAAAGGAGGAGAATATAGAGGAGGTATGGAATGATACAAGGCAACAAGGAGATGAGAGGAGGAGAAAAAAAGAGAAGGCCATGAAGAAAGGCAATGATGTTAGGAAAGGAGAGAAAGGTGAGAACAGAAGAAGCAGGAAGATAAGAAGAGAGGAGATAAGAAAAAAAGAAGAGGAAAAATGACAGGGACGGTGAATAGACAGTGGGAGGAAAAGAGAGGAAGAGGAGAAGATAAAAAGAGAGGGAAAGGAAAGATGAGATGAGTAAAGTAGGAAGAAGAAATTGGGAAGGAAGAAAAGGTAGAAGGAAAGGAGAGAAGGAAGGAAGGAAGGAGGTGACAAAAAATCGATGAGAGGAGGGAGACACAGGATAGGCAAGGGAGAGATAAAATAAGAGGAGAGAGGAGGAAGAAGATGAGAAGGGAAGAGAGGAAAGGAAGAAAGGAGGAGAGAAACACAATCGAGGGAGGACAACGGGGAAGAGGAGGAACAAGAAGAATTGTCAAAGAAACATATGAAGAGAAGGAAAAATATGGGAGATGAAGAAGAGCGAAAGATGAGAGGAGATCAGGAAACAGTGGAGGAGAAAGAGGACAAGGAGGCAAGGAGGAGAGAAGGCAGCGCAGCAAAGACTGAAATTAACCGAGAATTTAACAAATCTCTCTATTAATGTAAAAAAAGATCCAAATATAGTTATTAAAAAGAAAATATAGGAGCTCATTTTAACAAAAGCTTCTCATTTACAATGAAATCAACTTATTAATAATAAATGTAATAAACACAAAACTCACCCAAGACAACAGACAGGAAAATAAAAGCAACCGCGACGACTTTAACAGCAACTGAAGTGAAGACCTGAGTCCTGCAGCAGCCGGACCAGGAAGCCTGTACGTCACAGATTATTTTGCAGAGTGTAGTTCTGCATTTCTGAGAGGTTGCTGACACACGGAGAGAGAATAGAAACCCTCAAACATCAGAAAGTTGCTTTACTTTTTACTCCAAGACATGCTGGAGGCTCCACTCCAGTAGATCGCTGAACCAGACTGCAGGGATTCACTCTCATGTAGATGCCAGGTCCTCAGTGAAGCCCAGCACTGGTGTTGAGCTCAACTCAGAGCTGTTAGATCATTTCTGTATGGTACTGATGATGCATACGCGATAAAAGAAAAACTGTAAAAGCAGTGAAAATAATGGCAAATATATGTAAAAGTGGCATTTTTTTAAAAACCTGATTTAAATATTCAGTAAACAGAGTCTAATTTTATGGTCCAACACTGTACAAGAGCAAATTACCATTCATGAAATTACAGATTTTTTAAGTAAACATTATTT